CTACCAGCAGGCCTGATTAAAGCCTGAGGGACCAATTTACCCACCAGTGTTCCAGAACAAGTCCCCACACTCAGGCCCAAAGTGGAGACAACAGGCTTCCACCTTCTCTGAGGCTCCGTGGCTCTCCCCCAGCCCGGGCCAGCCTGGCAAGGCCCTTGGCAGTGCCCTATCCCTGAGTGTCCCAGCCAAAAAATGGGGTACACAGAGGTGGAACAGAAAGCCCCTGCCCCCAGAAAGGAACCAATCCACATCTCCCCCCTCCTAGCCACCAGGAGGTGACAGTGCCCTGGGGAAAGGGGGCTTACCACACCATCACGGGTAGGGGGGCAAGGGAGCCCTCCCAAAACAAGAGACACGGGGGCTAGTACCCTGACCCCTGCTCTCCACCTGTAGGAGGCAGGGATTATTTGGTCGGTTGTTTTCTTTCCGTTTTACACATGCAGAAGCTGAGACCAGAGAGGTTAAGTAACTTGCTCAAGGTCATACAGCAAAGATAAGGCAGGGCAACCACTGGAACCAGGCTGGCACACCCCAGAACGCCCATACTGCTGTTTCATAAGCCTCGAGCCTAGAGCCAGGTGACCCAGAGTCGAAGCCCGCTCTGCCTCTCTCTTGCTGTGCGGCGAGAGGCAGGTTATTTCATGCCCCTGAGCCTCGCTTTCCTGTCGGCAGAATTCCCTGATCTCGGGCTGGTTGTGAGGCTGAGCCTCCATGAGGTGCGAAAGAGCCTGCCTGTCACATGGTGAGCACACCCTGCCTGGTGGTGGCTACCAGCATTGCTGTTGGCCTGATGGGCCTGCAGCCTGATTTCCCACACCTACACCTCTCCTGCAGAACCAGAAGGTCCTGCTGAGGCTAGGAAGTCTCCCCCGCTGTCGCCCTCCATCTCCCTTTGGGGGCCCACTGTGCCCTGAGAGCTACCCCAAGCCTGCTAACCCTGGTGGTGCCACCGCAAGATATTTTAACAATCCACCTCCTTAGCTCAGGCTGCAGGGATAGCTGGCAGGGTGCCCCCTCCCCTTCCCTGCTGGGAACGAAGCCAGGAGGGGAGTGCTGACTCCCCCAGGCCCTACCCTCCTAGACACCCACCTCTGGCTCTGGGACCCTTGCAGTCCAGAACATTCTAGGAAAATCAGGGCCTGCAGACTCCGAGTCAGGTGCCCTCCATCAGAGACACCTATCTGGGCTCTGATCATCCGTAGCACGGAGATCCTATCAATGAGAATCCAAGAGGAAGCGCTCCCTGAGAACCCCTAGCATGCCCCTTGGAACTCCATTTCCCCACCAGTATTCTTTCTGAAGAAGTCTGTCTGGTGTCATGGAAAGAATACAAGATCTTGAATCCAGAGTCTTGAGTCTTAACATTGGCCTTGAACAAATCCCTTCCCCACTCTGTGCCTCAGTCTCTCCAACTGTGAAGTAGGAATATTAGCCCACCTACTTCAGGAGGAAAAAGGACAGGAAGAAGGAAACAAGCTTCTGGATGCAAGAGCCTTGGAGTCTTACTTGGTTGGACAGAAGCAGGATGTGCCCCCTTTCCGTACTTCTCAGGAGGCAGGATCACAGGAACTCTCCCCTCTAGAATGGGAGCATCTTGAGGCCAGGAACTGACTAGTCTGGTTCTCAAGGCCAGCAAGTATTTGTTGAATGAATATCTGACTGGACACACAGATGGATGATGTCACTGTCTTAAGAAACTAAAAGTGCTACCCAACAGGACAGCTCTCCATCCTCCTCATGTCCCAAAGGACTCTGTCTCTGGATTTCCTATTCTAACCAGCTAGAAGAAAGGTTCTAAAACTCACGGAGGAAGCCAGGTGTGGGGGGTGGTCAGGTCAAGAGGGGGCGTGAAAGGAAACTTCAAAACTTGAACACACTGGGCGGTGGGTGAGAGAGGAAGGGGTGCTGTGGGAGGGACAAGGGGTGGGTGGTGGAAGCCCCCCCTTCCTGGCCCGCCTCAAGCCTGGCCTGTCTGGGGAAGGCCAGGACCTAGCCGAGCCTGGCGGTAGGAACAATGTCAGGCAGGTGCCGGCCAAGCTGCGTGAAAGGCCCAGCCCGGTGTCATTGTCAGCGCTCAGCCAAGTGCAGAAAAGCAATTTACTGGTCACGCCGCCTGCTCCCCTCGGAAATTTTTAAAATTCTTCCGATTTGAGCTATCCGCGGTGTCCCAAGTCGTGTGGAGAAGGGATTTTATTAAATTCCCAGCTTCCTGCTTCCTGGGGTGGCCAGCAGGGGCGGGGCTCACCCCATGGGGGGTAGAGGGGGGAGGCAGTGTCTGGCATTGACTGTTGTACTCTCTCGAAAATGTGGCTGGAGGTGGGGGCCCATTCTGGGCCTGCTGGCTGATGGAGGGGGAGAAGGAAGAGACCAGAAACTCCCCCCAAACCAGGGAGCGGGGGGATGGGAAGGGCAGAGGTATATCCATTTCCCAGCAGAACAAAGTACCCTCCTGTGTGAATGAGAATCTCCAAACCTCCTTCCACACCTATCATGTACCACTTCAGCCTCAAGGCCACCCATTTCACAACTGCTGAGGAAAGATGAGGCTGGGGCTCAGGCCCGGTCCACCAGGTTGCAAAGCTCTGAGCTCTTCCCAGCGCGCAGGGAGGCCTCCCCAGGCTCTGCTCACCAAGGGAGCTCCTGTCACCCTCTCTAAGCTTGGCCTGCTGGGAAAGTAGCTGCTCTCCCCTCTGCCTGCCTCAGCAGGGAGCACACTTCACACTCCCAGCAACGAACACTTGAGGCGCACCCCTCATCTCTACCTCGAATGGCCATGCCACCTTTGTTCCTAGACCATGAATGGGGACAGGAGCCTGCCGTTTCTTTATCTTTTAGGACTCATAGATGCTTTTGAAAATCTGTGGGGAGCTGAGAGCCCTCTCCAAAACATGAGCACATTTGGGCACCATTTTGGTGTGACATATCAGGGGCCTGCCTCCTCCATAATCCCATCCTTAGATACTCTATGTGTGCAGGGACCATGGGTTAAATACATCAGTCTTATGGCAGTTTGGATGGGGAAAGTCTGAAAAGATAGGAAGAGGTGAGAGGGGGGAGAGGAGGCTCCATCACCTGCTTGAAGTCCTAACCCAGATGGACCACCCAGCTCTTTCCTGAGAGGCTGGCTCCAGCTCTAGGCCAGGAGGTCGAGGTGGGATGCAGAGTCCAGGTTCCCTCCCTCGTGCTTCCCCAGAGAACACAAAGATGCTGCAGCAACCCCTCCTGGGCCCTGCTTTAAGGACCAAGAGGCAGCAAGCTGCAGGAGGCTTGAGCAACAAAGTCCACAGACCTCTCTACCTCCATGCTCATTGCAGCAGTCCCCCATCCCCAGGTGCAACATGCAGGAAAAGAGCTCTCACCCAGATCAGACAAGCAGGTCCTCTGGAGTGACCCTGGGGCCTGCCCTCTGCTTGGGGACTCAGCTGCAAATCAGGCAGGCCATGCCTGGCACTGGCCTCTCTCTCTGACACCAGCCATTCCCCACCCCTGCCCCCGCCACCACAGGGTCACATCTGCTTTGGCAAACAGCCAGTTTTAAGTTACTGACTCCAGTTATATTGATTCAAGGAGTCACTGGGGACCTCAGCCTGGCCAAAGCTGGGGGAAAGAACCCATCAGTCCGTCTGTCCATCCGTCCATCCATCCATCCATCCTCACAGCCCCCAGCCCCAACTAGCTTCCCCCAGCCCAATGTCCATTCTGATGGTAACGATCCTCTCCCAGGAGTGGAAGGGGAGGTAAGCAGACCCACCACCACACCAAACACTGAAAGAGGCTACTGGGTCTCAACAGCACTCAACACACACAACATTCGTTAAGCCATAAAGCTGGGAGAGACACCATTTTCCCCACTCAAGGCTCTTTTGGGGCACCTCTGGAACCCCAAAGGCTAAAACCTAAGCATCGTCTCTAACCCTGTGAGGACACCTGCCTTCAACCCAGAGGGGGAAGGGGCAGATAATCTCTTTTGGCCCCAATCCAGCTCCTCCTAAGGCCCCTCCCTTGCAGCTCTAGGTGGGTGGGGGGCTAGGGTAGCTGGCACTTCTATTTCCCTTCCCTTTCCCCCCCCCTCCCCGCCCAAACACGCTGAGGCAGCCCTGGTCTGGTTCTAATCGGGGCTGAAGTCGCTCCCTCTTTCCCTCTTCTCTTTCTCTGCGCCCCCCCCCCCCTTTTCCTTCATTTCCACGGCTTTGGAAGCCAGAGCGTTCCAACTGTCTGCGTGCCAAGACCTTCCCGAGTCTGAAAGCTGCTGAAGTAACAGATCAGATTTTAGCAAGTGCTTTCCAGGCTGAGCGCCAAGCCCTCTTCTGATTCACAGAGAGCGAGCGAGCGGGGAGTAAGGCGGGGAATCAGTCGAAGGCTGCACCACCTTGGGCGAGGGTGTGCGGAGCGTGGCCCATTCTGGAGCGGCTTCAGGGCAATGGCCTCTCAGCCCAAGCGCCCGTCTCTGCTATCTCTCACCTAGTCTCTCCAAGACCTGTCTCTGTCTCTCCCTCTCTCTCTCTCTCTCTGTCTCTCTCTCTCCCTCCCCTGCAAACGCCTTTGAAACCACAGAGTAATTTACAACTGAAGCTTTCTCCCTGGACTCAAAATCCATTCGGCTCAAAGGAGCCTTTTTGTTTGGAAGAGCGAGCGGGGATATTAAGGGACGGATGGCAGAAAAAATCCTCAGGTCCCAACTCCTCTCCGGTTGTGGGCAGGGGGCTTGGAGCTGGGCACACTGCAGCGGCTGAGTCCGCTGGCTCCGGGGATCTCCTCCCAGCCGAGGCCGACAGGGGCCGCGCCAGTCTGAGCCCTGCAACAGAGCCCCTTGCCCTTGGCTGGTCCCCCGCCGGCGCAGGGCGCGCGCGGAGCCGCCCTTTGGCGCCCTGGGAACAGGTGCACTGGGCTCAACGCCCAGGAGGGGTGGGGCACAGGGAGGGGGCGCGGCCCAGGGGAAGGGGGTCGCCCTGCACCGCTAGGCAGGGGCAGGGGGAGGTCAGAGGCAGGATCCTACGTACCTGTACCTGGAAGCACAGCAGCAGGAAGTGTAAACACCTGCGGGAGAGAGATGGAGAGGTGGTCAGGGGGACTTGAGGGAGGGGGGCGCGCGGACAGACAGACGGATAGGCAGCCGGAAAGTCAGACGAACGGCCGGGCGGGCAGACAGAGTCACAGGCACACGGACAGACGGCCAGGCAGGGTAGGCAGCCCCGCGCGCGGGCGCTTACAGGCAAGTGCAGGCGGAGGGCGCTGAATACATCGCTGGGCGGGGGGGAGGCGGCGGCTCCTAGCCCAGCCTGCACATGTCCGCTCCGCGCGGCCGGGACCGGGCGCCTCCGCCGCCGCCGCCGCCGCCGCCGCCGCTGCTGCTGCTCCCTCCTCGCCGGCTGCTGCTGCTGCAGACTCTGCTGCTCCGGGGCGCTCCGCGGCGCGCCCTGCGGCATCAGCGCCCCGCGCGGCTCCTCCCGAGCGCTGCGCCCTCCGGGCTGGCGCGGGGGCTACGGGTGGCCGCCGCTGTGCAGGAGGCGCCGGGCTGGTGCGGGGAAGCTTGCTCACTGCTGGCCGGCCGGCCGGCCGTCCGGGCGTCCGCGGGAGGTTGGCTGCTCGGTTCACTCCGGAGGCAGCATGCACGACGGGGCTGGAAGCTGGGGCGCGATCTCCGGCCGGGGCGCGGGGCTGTGCGGGGCCAGGGGTCAGCGCTCCAGGGCCGGGGCGCGCGGCTGCAGCAGGAACGCGTCACGACCGCACCGTCTGGGCGCCCGCCGGCTCATGTCTCCTCCTCCGCGTCTCTCCGGCCGTGCGCATCGCCGCCTCCCACCACTGGCGGCGGCCGGGGCGTTTTCTACGCGCGGGCGGCGAGGGGGCGGGGGGCCGGGGGCGGGCCCGGGCCCGAGTCGGCACAATGAGGATGCGGGGCCCGGGGGCTCCCCCCTCGGGGCGCGGCCGGACGGGCGCTCAGCTCGGCTGGGTGCGCCGCGCCCACATCAAAGGCGGCCCAGCCTGCTTGCCTGCCTGCCTGCCGCGGCCTCTCCACCGCCTCCTCCTCCTCCTCCTCCTCCTCCTCCTCCTCCTCCTGGCGGCTCCGGGTTAGAGGGAGGCGCTCAGACTCTCGGAGACGGGACGCGCAGCTCCGAAGGGCCAGAGCCCGCGAGGCTGGAGCTGGTGAGCGCTGGAAGCCGTCGGAGCTGTGCGCCCGGGCGCAATGACCCGCGCCGCGGCGCAAATGCTGCCCGAATTGGGAAGGCGGCGGTCCCCAAGAAGGCAGTTAGGTGCGGAGCGTCCTCACTCACCCACATTCGCTACTAGCACTCACTCACACCCACTAGCGCTTCAGTGGGGAGCCGGGAGGGGGCGGGCCAGGCCCAGCCCCCGGGGCGGCTCCGTTTAAGGGGGTTCGCTTTCGCCCGCCCTGTGAGTCCACGCAGGACCGTGGCGTGTCCCAGATGCCCTCTCGGACGGCTGGCACTCTGAGACCCCTTCTGATGTCTCCGTCCTTGCCGCTGCGGGGGAGGGGGGTCTCCAGGACTTCTCTCCCCCTCACCCTCCTCCAGAGCTCTCGGGTCGGTTCTCGGGCTCCCAGCGGGGCTCTCCGGTAGGCGAGCCAGCTTTGGAAACGCGCGGCTGCCACCTAGCGGCCCCGAGGCGTCGCTGCAACTCCAGCCCGGGAGGGCTACAGGGAACAACCAGCAGGACTCCGGCCAGCGACCACTCTAGGCCCTCCGCCGGCCACCTGGCTGAGACTAGCTTCCGTTTGTATTCTAAGCGGTTTAGTTCCTTTAACCAGGACTCCAGTGAGGGTATCTCCTCTCCCCTCCTCTCCCCGCTTCAGGGGCAACACTCCCGTCCTTTCCATCTTCAAAATGTAGGTGTTGTCATATGCCGCCGACAGTCGGGCTGTCCTTTGGCCTGATGCTAAGGGAGAGGTCATAGTGAGAAACAAACTCAAAAAGCAAAATTCAGGAATCCATACTATTTGGTTAAAGACCTGGTGTCACTGGCAGTGGTTGATAATCCCATTGTACTAGAGCATAAACTGAGGTAGCTGCTGTCAAACGGGAAATAACTGTTCCGTGTACCAGCCCTCTCCGCGAGCTCTTGTGAAGTTCCCTTTCAAAGCTAAGGCTCTTAAACAGGTTGCCTCTGTCTCAGCATTAAGACACAAGAACAGAAAACCTTTTGAAAACTAGCTGCTGGGTGTCGGGGAAAGCTTGTGTGTGAAGGGCTGGGCTGAATTTACTTAAGACATTCTCATTGCTTATACTATTATTACTTTCTATTACTTTTAAATGGAATGGGTATATAACTATCTTTTAGGTAAAATGCTTGCCATTTTTTTCTTTTTTTTTTAAAGATTTTATTTATTCATGAGAGAGAGAGAGAGAGAGGCAGAGGGAGAAGCAGGCTCCCTGCGGAGCAGGGAGCCCGATGCGGGACTCGATCCCAGGACCCTGGGATCATGACCTGAGCTGAAGGCAGATGCTTAACGACTGAGCCACCCAGGCGTCCCTTTGCCATTTTTTTCAATGTTCACATAAAGTCTGTCAACCTCACAAATAAGACTATCACCCAAATAAAGACTGACCAAAAAAGTCCAGTCAAAAGAACAGTTCTGAATAAGAGCATGAACTCAAGAGTCAGAAATCCTGGATTTGAATATTGCCTCCAACATTTACTTATAAATTCCAGCAAGTAACAGTCTGAGACTGCTTCCTCATCTACAAACCATGGCTAAGAACAGTAACAACTCAAGAGTTGTTTTCAGTTACTGAATGAGGTCATTCTGAGTCTGGCACATAATAAAGGCTCCAAAGGTTTTAGCCATTATTAATAATTATAATTATGTTTCTCAGATTTTCACTTTCTTTGTGATTCCATGAAGTAGGGAGGCAGTATCATTACAGCTTAAGAGGTGTCCAGTCAGGTTCTGTCTTAACTCCAACTCGTCATTTAACCACATTTTTTCTTACCATTTACATCTCAAATCTAGTTTTCACATACCTATTTACTTACTATATACATGATTTTTATATGGAGTTTTCCTATCTGAATTTGACACATGAATTCATGTTAACTTCATACGTACCACTATTTGGTAGTCACTTCTCAATTCATTCAATTACGATTTATTGATCCTACTGTCAAGGCCATGGGTGAAGACAGACAAGTTCCTGTTCTACAAAAGCTACTTCACTTTCAGGGAAAATGGGCAGTAAGTAAGGGAAGTCAAGAGATAAATTCTAGCCTATCAGTGCTTTGAAGAAAACCAATGGGATAGGGAATACCTCTTAGTAATATTTAGGCTAAGCCACAAAGGTGAGGAGAGCTAGCCACGCAAAGGAATATTCCAAGCAAAAGACACCAAGTGCCTACAGGTAGAAAAAAGCTAGGTAACAGGCAGGAATAGCCAGGGTGAGTGGCAAAAGTTCAGGGTAAAAACGGGCAAATACTTATCATGCCTCAAAGGCTCTCAGAGGCCAATAGGTAGCCAAAGGCCTTTTTTAAAGGGACTACTGATATACAATTTTTAAGTCTGTTTTAAGTGTGCTCAGAGTTTAACATAGATCTATGTAAACACCCCCCCCCTTTTTTTTTAGATCTTACTTATTTGACAGAGACAGCAAGAGAGGGAACACAAGTAGGGGGAGTGGGAGAGGGAGAAGCAGGCTTCCTGCTGAGCAGGGAGCCCAATGAGGGGCCGATCTCAGGGTCTGGGATCATGACCTGAGCTGAAGGCAAAGGCCTTAACAACTGAGCCACCCAGACACCCTGTAAACACCTAAGGCATCCTTCCCACACCCATTGCTGGTCCCAAATTAACATTAATTGGTTGGCACTAGATACTAGTGTAATGTAAATAGAACCATGTATTATTGTGCTATTTTGTGTCCAGCTTCTGTTCAGTATGTTTTTGAGATTTCACCCTCATTCATTGTTGCTTTTATCATTTAATTGCCAAGTAGTACTCAACAGTGTGGATGTACTATTATGTTTGGCAATTAGTCTATCAAAGGCTTTGAAACTAAGGGTCAGAATGAATTTGCTTTTCAAAAGCTTATCACAGGTGCTAAAGAATGAACTGGAATGGTCCAACTATGGCAGTTGGGGGGCCAAGAAGGCTATTACCAGTCCAGGCAACTGTAGTTTGGGATGGATGACTGCATGCTACATCAAATTCCCAGTTGTAAGCTAGTAAACTTGCAATTTTCTGAGCAGATTCTCATCTGTAAACCCCCTTGTTGTCTTATGCGGGACTGAAAATTTAAAGGGAGTTGAGAATGTGTATCGACTGCTAGTGCAATGGGATGCACGCCCCGCAGAGCAAGTTAATGGTTTTGCTTACTGACTAATCCTAAACAACTAGACCTTTGGGACACAGTATATAGTTAAATGTTTTAGATTCCTATCTTTTTCAAGTATGAAAGTAATATACAGCACAGCAACCTGACATTTTCTACTTTTCTCCAATTTAAGACTCACAAAATTCAGGGAGTTCTATTGAATACAAGTATTTTGGATACAGATAGGAGAACCTCCTGCCTAGGAACACAGAGCCTCAAGCCTTCAACAGGATCAAGTAGTTTAATAAGAGTAGACAGACCCTTAGCACAGACGAGGCTCTAAAATTTTCTCAAAACCAGCTCTCAGAACTTTCACAGCATTAAACAGGACCTCTACTGCCAAATGCATGAGTCAGGGAGCAACTGGCTCTTTGGCAAGAACTGGCTGGAAGGTAGCCTTAGACTTTCTGAAATAACATTAACCCTTTATTGTTAACTATACTGGAGTTTTAAAAAAATTAAACTTTAATCCTTTATCTCCAGAGCCCAGACCACACTACCTTTTATTCAGAGGCTCAGTGTATGTGACCCTCAACTTTTCTTGGACAATTTCAAACAAAAGCCCCACAACCTGGACAGTTTCTCTCCCTCATTAAGCTACTGGTTGTCAAGACCACATAGTAGCTTCTGCAGCTTTATGACACACTATAAACCTCATACTATTACTTGCATGGGTCCATTTAGAGTCTGATCTGCTCTCCCCAAATGGCCTTATGTTCTGTGGTTGAAATTTAAGGTAACACAACCTTACACAATTAAGGTATCAAATGAAAACTTGAGCTTCCCTCAAGTTACCAAGTGCCATCACTGCCCTCCAAATGCTGACAATTCCCCATTGCTTTTCCAAAGGGTCTGATCTGATCATCCGTAAAGTGAAGCTAATGAGCACCACCCACCCAGACAGTTCCTAATTGCTATTTTTTATTTTAAAAGATTTTGAGAGAGAGCAAGCAAGAGCAGGGGGAGGGGCAGGAGTGGGAGCAGCAGATTCCCCACTGAGTGGGGAGCCCCATCCCATGCAGGGCTCGATCCCAGGACCCTGAGATCAGACGCTTAACCAACTGAGCCACCCAGGCATCCCTGCCATTCTCCTCAAGAAATGGATCATTCCAGGTCTGAGAAAGAAAATGAAGATGAACCTGGAACATTTTCTCACTAGAAAGCAAGACACTATCAGACTACTAGAGTCTGTGATGGTAGGAACAAGCTTGAAGGGGACTCCATCAGCCAAAAAAGATGTAAGAGCGAAACACCAATACATAAAAATCTGAATCCAAAGTACTTAATTAAAACTACTTCCAAAAAAAAAAAAAAAAACCTCACTACCTTCAGAGGTTGCTAGAACATCAACCTATCATTCTGAAAATTGGTAAAGAACAGAACATTAAAACATGTTTTTCAAAAGTCAGGTAGAGGCAATACAAGTGGGGATTTTAAAGAAAATGCCTGCAAAATAGTGAATGGTATTGCTAAAGAACTAAGCCATTAAACATTCATATTCAACAGACTGGCTTAAGAAAGGGAAATATAGTTATTCCATCAAAAAGTACTTTAGGGGCGCCTGGGTGGCTCAGTTAAGTGGCCGATTCTTGATTTCAGTTCAGGTCATGGTATGAGGGTCTTGAGATCAAGTCCCTTTTTTCAGGCTCCCTGCTCAGTGGGGACTCTGCTTGAGATTCTTTCCCTCTGACCCTCCCCACACCCCTGACTCCCTCTCTAAAATCTTAAAGAAAAAAAATTAGTACTAGGGGGATGCCAGGGTGGCTCAGTCAGTTAAGTGTCTGCCTCTGGCTCAAGGTCATGATTCCAAGGTCCTGGGATCAAGTCCCTCATTGGGCTCCTTGCTCAGTGGGGATACTTCTTCCTCTGCCTGCAGCTCCCCCTGCTTGTGCACTCACGGATGAAAAATTTTTTAAAGATTTTATCTATTTGTCAGAGAGAGCAGAAGCAGGGGGAGCAGCAAGGCTCGCTGCTGAGCAAGGAGCCCGATGTGGCACTTGATCCCAGGACCTTGGGATCATGACCCTGAGCCAAAGGCAGACACTTAACCAACTGAGCCACCCAGGTGTCCCATAAATAAAATCTTAAAAAAAAAAAATTACTAGGGACAAAGGGAAATAATTTTTTCCTTATTAGTCTTAGAAAACTAAAAATGCTTTAAAATTTTTTAGTTTTCCCTAAGTACCTCAATTGTATGCTTTTTAGCAATTAAACCAATATTGATCTAAGTATGGCCAATCTCACTTAACAGTTTGCACTGCACAAAAGTGTTTTTTAAAGAATTTCTAGTCACAAGCCTAGGAGTTCAATTTTCAGATTACCATATTTTGTTGGCTGAGGTCCAGTACCAAGCACTATTAAGTGACTTTGGAGGCACGAGGAAACATGCCCTACCCGCAATCTTTTACAAAGATGGATCTGATCAGCTTAACTGAACGTGCAAGAACAGGACCACCAGTAAGGCCAACAGCTTTCCCTCAGAATGGGAAGTCCTTTCAGTTTTCCTGCTACATTAAGTACCCATCAGCTAAGCCCAAGGGTTAACTTCTACACAAAGCAACTCAAATAATAAACCTATCAAACCTACATTTTGGTTAAGTCATTAAAACCTAAGTATACATCTACTTCTGAACATTTTAAGTAACTAATTACCTAATATAGTCCTACATCATCATATACTGTGATGTGAAACACTATCTAGGGAAGGAATGACTCATCTTTAATGTATTTATAGTTCTTAGTTAACACTCTGTGGCACTATTTAACACTAGTAACTTTTTCAAATTCATGTGCAGGTTAAGCATTTTGAGATTCTATGAATTTAAAGATGATCTTTTAAACATTAAACATAAAAACATCCTTTAAAATAGACGTACTTTCCAGTGAAACTAAGAACAATGAAGATTTACCATTTCCAACTGAATCTCCATTAAAATAAGATATAAAAGGAGAAGCTACAAGGACACCCTGCAGAGGAAACGGAATAATCAATGAAGGAAACCAAAACCTGAAGTCAATGACTAGAAGAGGCACCTGAAGCCTGGAAAGTGGGATTTAGAAAGACAGTACTGAACCAACCAACCTTTCCCAAACTCCAAAAGTAAGGTTACTCAGAGCCCCTGCTGGGCTGACTCAGCCCCTAGGGCATCTCTGACTCTTTTGAGTTCGAGCCCCACATTGGATGTGGAGCCTACTTAAAAAAGTAAAGTAAAAAAAAAAAAAGTGGTTGCTCTACCAAAACCATTCCAAAAAGGCTGATATCTGCTCATTCCCATCAAAGTATTTTGAACTACAGCCTAATCAAAGAAAGCAATCCTCCTAATCAATGTAAGACAGGATAAAAAAAAAAAAGAATAAACAATGCATGAGGTGAAAAGGGTTCCTTCAAACTTTAAATATGTCCCCAAACACCAAGGAAGAGCATTTAGAAGTTAATAAAACCAACACAAATTTGAAGACATAAAATAGTCCTTTCTCCTGAAGTTTAAACAAAGAGGAATGATGAAAAACATCCAACAGCATCAAACAAAAGGCCCAAGAACAGATAGAAGTTAAGCAGGAGAGCAAAATCTCCCAAGAACATGCCCCCAAACTGGAGAATCTGTGGAGAACAGACCCAGTCTACCCAGGTCCCAGAACAAGAAAAATTATAAAATTTCAGGAAACCAGCAATAGGGCAATCTTAATCAGTTCTCAGGAAAACTGGTCATATACAAAACAACACATGAAAATGGCAATAGACTAAGCCATAAAGGGCGCAATTAAAATTCTGAGGAAAAGATTTAGCAGCACTGAATTTTATGTCAAAAACTGACTTTTTCAAGATTAAAAGTAGTCAGAAAATACTTCCTCCATATATTAGCAAACTACCTGGAGACACCACAGCGAAAACAAGAGGAAGAATAGTAATCTAACCACAACCATCATGCAACTGGCACAGGGTAAAACAGATAAAAGATGCCAAGGATTAGCCCCTGAATGTCCTCCTGTAACCACCACATGCAAATTAATCCTTTCCCTATGGATCTAAAAATGTATAAATTATGTGCTATTTTGGGCAAATTCAAAAAACAGCCAACAGAATTCATTTTCTGTTCTTGTTCAGATTAAGAACCCAAGTTGAGAAAAGCTGCTGCAAGGTGTAAACATGCCACATTTTACCAGTAAAAACTGAGCTAATGTGGACAGGTGGTTTGAACAGTTGGAAACACACTTGCATGGTCATAATTATCATCTGTTATCAAGAGGTGAGAAGCTTTAAACATTAAATGCTCAAGAAAAATAGAAGGGTTAACTCTGAGAAGCAGAACTATTTGGAGGGGTAGGGCAGGGACTGCTTCTCAGGGGATTTTAGGGCATTATTTGACACTTTTAACTATGTACATTTATTTCTCTGACAAAGTATAAGAAGGGTAAATAACAGAAAAGAGAAACAGTGCTACTTTATTAAAATACTGAGTTTATTTCACATGTATATTTTTGTCTCCCCACCATTTCCATTTGTCTGACCACCACTACTACTATGTCCTATCATAACATTCCATACATACTTAAAACCAAGCAAAGGGTGGAGTTCCATCTTTAAAAACTAAACAGGCATTTTGGACAACACATTCTTGGCAATGGAACCTGGACAACATTTATCAGACACGGTAGGGAAAGTTCTCACTCTGCATTATAAAAAGGACAGCCAGATATCAACTGTTACAGAAATGAAATAAGACGGAAAATTTTAACAAACTGTTTAAACTATTTTCTTAAAGAGACTTCCTCCACTGCCAGAGATCCTGAATAGCCTGGAAAAAAGAGAAAAGAAATGCAGTTAAAGAACCACAACACTTCATAGACACCAATAAATTAAACCATGGCTCTTTGTACAGTTCAACATATCTATTTTTCATCCTACCACCAAAAAGGTCCACTACATAATTAAGAACTGATTTCAAGGAAATTTATACTCAGACATAATTTAATTTCAAATACTTCAAACAGACATAAAATCATGTGAATCTTTGTAAAGCAGAGTCAATGGTACTAGTATGTATGTAACAGCTTAGATAAATGAAATTCAAGAGTAGAGAGGCCAGTTTGGCCTACGTCATCTGCTTTAGGGCTGCCAGATTTAGCACATAAAAATACAGAACACGCAGTTAAACACATTTATTTCTAAGCCTATGGAATACATACTAAAAAATTATATTTACTCGTAACACACCAGATTAACTACTCAGACTTGTTCTTATCTGGGTTTGTTAAATCACTTAACACCAATCTTCCAAGACATAATCTGCTTTTCCATTCTTAAAATCTAATGATTTAATGTGGTCTACTGACAAAGAGTATCCCTGTCCATTTCTATGTCCTCCTTTGACACACAATGAAATCTACACTTGTTCTCATGCTAGTATTAACATCCATATAAAAGAATCATTCTTTAAATATGACAGTCTCAGTTAACTAGTTATTATTTATCCACTTCAAGTTGGCATTTCTTTTCCTATTCATAAATGACGTTCTTTTTCATCTTGAGATGACTGGCTGGCTCAGCTGGTGGAGCATGTAAATCTTGATCTTGGGGTTGTGGTTCAAACCCTGTGATGGATGTGAGGGTACTTTAAAAAATCTTTGAAAATATAAATAAAAATAGTCTTGATATTTGTCAATTCTACAGGATTCAACAAATTCCTTTAAACAATGGAGTGTACTTCAATGTGTTTTTTGAACTTCCCTAAATTTACATAATCCTACTGCTAAACAGGTATTTAAAACTGTATGTAAGAAATAAGTAGGCTTTATTCAATGAACATTTAAAAATGTCACTAAGAACATTTGGAGTCTTTTCTTCAAAAGCAGGATTTCAGTGCTTCAGATAGATAGGATTCTCTCAACTATTATTCAACCACCACTGGGTTTCAAACACAAGAGAACGGAGTATTAAATGTGAGTAACTCTCACAAAAACCCTCCGTTCATTCAGTTCAATATAAATGTTTAAGAACAATCACATGACACTCCAGTCAAAAGAAACATCAGATGTCACTTGAATAGTGCTATGTAGAATGAGGACAGCAAAACACCTTTTGTAGAATCATCACTGCTTTGAGTAAACATTGTATCTTTACATAAATATTCACCAAAATTTGATCTGTCATTTCTCCACAAAAAGCAGTACAATTGTTTTCATTAACTTAATTCAAGAGCTTCTGCAAAGATTTGCTAGTATTTCTTAAATCCCATCTGGAAGGGATTTTACTAGCCAAATCCTCAGAAGCAACTCTTTTTCACAAGAAAAATTACACAAGCAATGGAAAAATTTCTTTATATGTTGTGACCTTTATCTGTGGGTATGCTGTAAAAACAGGCATTTAGTTTTGATAATCTCTGTAACAGTAAACAGAACTACTTTTTAATATTGCAGAAATTTCACCCTTGCACTTGAAAATAGGCTTTCAATTTTAGACTCGGAAAATACTTCTGAAGGCAGTGAGTTCAGTCATTTCAGCTGCCAAGACTGATAATACACTGTGTGGAAGGCCTTTACAACTTTGGTTATTTTATTTCCCCTGAATTTTTCTTAATCACAAATTATATTTCACCACTTTCTTTGGTACTAGTGGGAGAAATCATCTGTCTTATGCTTCCTTGTTAGTAATGCTGGTTTACATCTTACTTTCCACTATGCAATACTGAACTAACAACTGCATATTGTGGTTTCACAAGGATTTTTGTTTTAACAAATGTCCACTACTCAGAAAATTCACACTTGGCATTTTGGGGTTCAAACGTACACAAACAGAATAGCCACCAAAGGAGTGTAATATTGAATTTCATCGCCATGTAAACAAAGGCTGAACTCAACAATAGTATACAGTGTTGAAACACTTCAAAGGGTTTCAAACTGGAGAAAAATAAGTGCTGCCATTTAAGTCACCTAAGTACTAAATAACTGGCAGAAAATTAGCTCAAACTGACAAAGTTCTTCATTTACTGAAAAAAGTTGAGGCTTAGGGGTTGACAAAAACCATTTAACAGAATATTCTGTATATACAAGACACCTAGCAACCTTACCTGTTTTTACATTTTCCTTTAAAATCTGAGTCAGCAACCATAAATAAGACAATAAAAATGCATGAATTTTTTTCTATTGACAAAATAATGTGTAAGAAATACAAAACTTAACAGCTGACTCAAACTAATATACGGAGTACTAACTACAATTTGGCTTCTTGCTTCCAGATTTTACATTTAGGTTGATTTTAGAAAAATGTGCTTCCCCTAAGACCTATGGAGAAAATGGTCTCTGCCAACGCACAAGAAAACAAAAGTCCAGACTACCTCAAGTACTCAAATGGAGCAGCAAGGAAAACCACAGAATACTCCCTTAGCCAACAGAGTACCAAAAGTAAAAGTGAGTTCAGTAACCAAGAGATAATTTACCAACTATATAAAAAGCTGAGAAAAACATACTTAAAGAGTCATCTCAATCTCTGCCAACTAAACTCTTAAGTTTCCATATATTTAATCTGAAGTACTGTCTGTGGCTAGGAACCTTTTAAAAGAAGCCAACACTTAAACTAAAAGAATTATAAATAAATAAATCACAATAAAATATTTGGATTTGGTCATGTCTCCTGAAAACTCAGTTACCTCTTGGTCAGTCATCCGGAAGCAATTCTTCACATAATTGATGAACTTGGCTTCCACTTTGGGAAGAGAACCACCCTAGGAGACAAAAGCATTATTAAGGGTAAGTACAGAAACACTGTTTTTGAGATATTATGAAATTCCTCACAGATTTTCATGCTATTACATGGATCATTGGTTCATTCCATATCCATTCAACTCTTTCACTTCAATACTTTGTTTTTAGGCCCAGAAACACCTACTGGGCAACAATATTTAGAACCTAGGCCTTTCATTAAGGAGGGCACAGTGATGTAATGAGCATTGGGTATTACAGAAGATTGATGAATCACTGAACTCTACTTCTGAAACTAATAATACGCCTTATGTCAATCAATTGCATTTAAATAAAAGAGGGAGAAAAAAACCTAGATCTTTCATAGTATTCCCATATTGATAGGTTTGTCAGTTTCAAATTCTCTCCAACCACTCTAAAAATACAAAATATAAGCTACACTTGAGATTCTTCAGGCCCACTCAAATGTCAGTTTGATTGCCTACTCTATTATATACCACCCAGAACCAAATACAAATGTATACCCCCCTTTTGAGTACCATATACAAAGAAATCAACATTGTTTATCACTTAATACTTACTACTTTTGAATGATCTTATTTAACATACTAAGTATATCCTCTTTGTTTCCTCTTTGGTAACTAAATTTTAATTTTCCTTGTAACCTGAATCTTCTATGCATTTTAAAAGATCAAGGTTTCAGAATGCCAAAGAAATCATGGCACAAAATAGGCTAGTGATCAGAGGTATGGTGTAAGATCCTTAAATTGCCTCTATAATCTAGAAAATAAACCTCACTGTAATTTCCATTTTTAAATTATTGTCACATACATTCTTATTTGAATCATTAAAGTATTTATTGAGCAGCTAGGGAGATACAAAAGTGATTAAAACATTGTCAAAGAGGTGAGGCAAATGCACACATCATAGAAAGCCAAGTGTAAGGGGTCACTGAAGCACAGCAGTCAAAAGAAAAGTGCTTTGGGAGATCAAGAATGAGATTGCTTCCAGCCTGGAAGGGGGTGTGGGTGGGTGGCAAATCAGGAAAGGGGATCTGAGACTTCAGTCTGGATTGTTGATGACAGTCAGTATGGACTATATTTGTCTCTCCTTTTTCTCTCCCCAGCTTTGGGTTTAATTTACCAGTAGTGCCCAGGACTGTTCAATTCGCCTGTAATTAAACCAAGGAGATAGGACCATATTAAAATGGGGGGGGGGGAATCTAAAAGATGTCATTTTAGCATTGTATGCAAGGGGTAAAAATAAAGCAGTGATACCAGAAGCTAGAAAGGTATACAGTAGTACTAAAGCAAAAACACACACATTCTGGTTCTAAATGTTATTTTTCCAATTGACTCTTCACTGTACAAGGAAATCTACTGAAGCCAGGTTAAAACTTAGCACAGGAAAAACATGGGGAAAGGAGTCAGCAACTTTTCCTCACCATCCCATCCCACCTTTACTCTCACCAATTGGGGTCTTATATTTTAACTCACAAAATTAGCTTTTTTCAAATGTTTCAAGACATTTAAACTATTTATTCAGTATTATTCTACAAGTCCAAGTTCACTAAGGTTTAGTAAGTTTAGTTTCCCAATCAATAAGCAGCAGGATGAGAGCTAATTTCTTCTCACATTTCCCCCTAAGACACAAGGCAACTAAATGTAAGCATATCAAAGATTCAAGATATCACATATATCGACCAGTAATATCTTAGTATAAAAAGCAAATAGAAAGGACTCAAATTTGCTGGAAAATGTTTGACTAGAGTCAGTCATGAGTATTTTTTAACTATACCAACAAGCAACCAGATGGTCTCCACCTTTCCAGAGGCTTGCAATTTTATAAAAGACTCACACGCCCTCTGCTGGTTCTGTAGCATCTTACAACCAAAAAAAACAAGCAAAGGAAACTACTGAACTAAGAAAAGAACAAGCAAAGGAAACTATGGAACTAAGGTCAGAATGAATCTTAAAACTTACTTGTATTTCTTTTATAAAAGAAAATAAAATATACATAAATTCAAGTATACACATGAAAACTCATGATTAGAAATGAATATAAAAAACAATCCATTTCTGAAAACAAAACAAAAAGGGGCAGGTATATAAAAAATAAAAAAAATAATCTAGTTCCAAGCCTTCACATGGTTATTATTTTAACAGAGGAAGGAATAAACCTATCTAGTTTTTCAGCAAAGATCCTTTTACTCACTTTTTCTATACTTGCTTGCATTTTTGCTTTAATGTCTTCTACAGAACTAGGTCCTTTTGGTGTTTTGGGCGTCTTTTCCTGTTTTTTGAAAGATTCTTGACCCTGGAAAAAAAAAAAAAAAGGTGAATTTCAAAAGGTCCCTAAGAGTACAGCTCTTTTAAGACCCATCCCCTATCTACCTGGATTTTCTCAAGAAAATCACTCTTATTTACAATCCTTCCTTGTAAAATGTACACAACCATAGTCACATTATTTTAATGTCTGAACAATAATTTTCTCTTAACATCATCCCTTAAAAAGGGAATAGGAATAGTTTGAGCTTGCTTTTATATTCCACACCAGATCAGTTCTACACTTAAAAGGTTTCAAAATTGAAACCCAAAGGCCCCAAGAATGAAGCAAGTAAATGCAGCTTGAAATGCCTGAGGCCCATCTTGTAGCTTCTAATAATCTCCAAGCCCAGGTACTGTGGTTCTTTTAAGCTGTTAGATTCTAACACACAGCCAGGGTTGAAAAACTGCACTATGCCTTAAAATAATACTTTCAACCAACTCCTTACAGGACACAACTGTTTGTAATGCAATAAAAATCTTTCTGTTGGCATCCTCCTCCACTAGAATGCCAGCAGGCATACATCTAGACAATAATTACCAGCCAGCACACTTTAGCTCTTTGAGACACCAATTACAAGTATTCTCCAAACAATGTCAAATTTCAGACTAGCTTCTTTCACAGGAGAATTTTTAATTTTTCTAACTACTTCAATGAAAGCTGTGTTTTTGTATGTTGCCACTTACTTTTGTTCTTGGTGTTGATGGTTTTGAGTCTTTTCCATTCTGGTTTGATTTTTGTGCATTTTTGGCTGGAGTATCTCGTATAGACTGCAATTAGAAATTAATCTTAATCAATGCCCTCCTACACAACAGACATGAGTGCAAATAAAACTTCCCCAAACCACATAACAAAAGCAGCAGTCAGGCTAAGACAAAACAGTCATTCTGAACTAACAAAGTGGGAGAAGACCACATGGATAAAGAAAATAGATCGTTCTGTACCACTAGGAAAGTTTTTAGGACGAAAACCCTACTCAGGACTAATTTAAGTATGAGATCATCAACTCCTCCCCAGCCAGCTTTCGTTAATTACAAAACAAGTGAAAAGCACTAAAAAATCTCCATCATTTCTGTTATTAGTTATTTCTGACAACCTCATACCACTGTATCCTACTTACTTACTTTTTTTTTTTAAAAAGATTTTATTTATTTATTTGAGAGAGAGAATGAGATAGAAAGAGAGCATGAGAGGGGCGAGGGTCAGAGGGAGAAGCAGACTCCCTGCCGAACAGGGAGCCCGATGCGGGACTCCATCCTGGGACTCCAGGATCATGACCTGAGCCGAAGGCAGTCGCTTAACCATCTGAGCCACCCAGGCGCCCCCTACTTACTTTCTTTACTGGAGCCTTTTCTTCAGCTTCCTCATCATCAAAATCATCATCATCATCACTGCAAATGAAATGAGTCATTATTACTGATTCCATGCACTCATAAGCCAAAAAAGCATATGTAGAAATTGGATGAACCTACAAGTTTAAGTCAATCAAGACATTAAGAACTTTCATACTTTCGGGGGATTGATTGACAAAAGATTCAGAAGCAGGATCTTGAAGAGCTATTTGCATGTTCGTCTTCATTACAGCATTATTCACAATTTCCAAGAAGTGGAAGCAACCCAAATATCCATTAACAAACACATAAGAAAATGTCATATATACAACTAATGGAATATTCAGATTATTTTGATAGTTATTATTACAATATTCAGATTTTTGAGAGAGCAAGCAAGCTTGAGGTCGGGGGGGGGGGGTCTACCTCAAGACCCTGAGGATCATGACCTAAGCTGAAATCAAGAGTCGGGACACCTAAACGACTGAGCACCACCCAGGCGCCCCTGGAATATTCAGTTTTAAAGGAAATCCTGTCCCATGTTAAACATGGATGTACCTTGAGAACATTATGTTAACTGAAACAGAACAGTGACAGAAAGACACATACTGTATGATCCCACTTAATGAGGCATCAAAAGTAATCTTTATAGTCCTTATAGAACCCAAAAGTAGATTCGTGGTTGCCAGGGGCTGGAGAGTGGTGGAAATGAGGGGTTTTCATTCAATGAGTATTATTTTCAGTATTACTAGATGAAAGAGTTTAAGATCTACTACAACATGAATATGGTTAGCACTCCTGAACTGTACACTTAAAAAATGGTTAAGATGGTAAATATTGTATTCTTTTCCAACTAAATGAATGAAAATAAAAATTGGAGGTCACAGTTTGAAGAAATTAAATAGAAACACATCTTATGTTCACAGATCAGTGGAAATATTCTTACTAAGGTGGCAACTCTCCAAATTAATCTACAGATTCATCATAATCCCTAAGAGTCCCAGCTGGCTTCTCTGTAGAAATTGATCCTAAAATTTGTATCAAAATTCAAGAACCCAAAGCAGCCAAAAACAATCTTGAAAAAGAGCAAAGTTGGAGGATTCACTTAAGTGTTTTCAAAAGAAACCCCCCAAAACTACAAAGCAACAGAAATCAAGAGGTTTTACCAGTGTTTAAGGATAGACACACATCAACAGAACTGAAGAGTCCAGAAATACATCCATATATTTATAGTATTTATTTTCAGCAACAGTGATCAGACTGTCAATTCAATGGTGAAAAAAGTCTTAACAAATGGTGCTGGGACAACTAGAAATCTACAGGCAGAATTTAAGTTGGTTCCCGTAACCACACCACACAAAAATGGATTCAAAATGTATCAAAGATCTAAATATAAAACATAGTAAAGGTTTCAGAAGATTTGGCAATGGCTTCTTAGGTTTAATACCAAAAGCACAAGCAGCAAAAGAAATAAAACGAACTTCACTAATCATTAAAAACATAAAAATTTAAGCTAATGTGCACATACAATGTGACCACTATATGGTCAGCTATGCTTCAATTACAAAGAAGGCAATAAAGAAATAAACTTGTGCAAAGGATACCACTCAACAGTGGAAAGACAACCCACAGAATGGGAAAAAATATTTGTGAATTGTATCTGATAAGGTGCTTGTCCCAAAACATAAAAAACCTCTTACAACTCAGTAATATCAAGACAAGTACTAATAATGCTACAACATGCATGGTTCTTAAATACTCAAAGACAAAAATAACATATTGTATGTAGGATTCCATTTACATGAAATACCTATAATAGGCAAATCTATAAAAGACAAAGTACATTAGTGGTTGACTAGAGCCGGGAAATATAAACGGTTATAGTATGGTTACTTTTTGAGGAAATGTTCTAAAATTGTGATGACTGCACAACTGTGCAATATAACTAAGAACCACTGAATGGTACATTCTAATTCTAAATAGGCGAATTAGGAGGAAAAAATCTAATCTGAGAAATCCATGTAAGTATTAGCTAATAGTGGATCTAGTTCATGTTTTAATTACTTCACAAACCTAACTTTTATACTAGCCAAAATGTGTTTCTTTTCCACATTTAGTCTCTAAATTTAAAACAGGAGCAACTTCATCTCTGTGCACCAAAGAAAACCATCTTTCCAGAACTGGGGTAAATTTAATATGATGGCCTAGTATCATGTAGTACGTGTAAAGCTATATATACACACACATACATATACAGAGTCCTTTATTTTAAAGTGATTCTGTCAATTTTGACTTTAGAACCCAATCCCTGTATGTTCCTCCCCACACTAGAAACAAGGTAACAAGGATTTCTATAAAACCAATTATCAGTTTTATTTAACTATCCCTACCTATATATTTATCTGACTACCCACCTTTTCCCTTATATTTGGACCTTGATTAACATCTATATATATTTATTTCATTCCTCCCGCACTACCAAACTTAAAGACAACTTAGAGGGAACATGGAAGAACACAAAACTATTCTACACTGTGGTTGTATCAGGAAATATACCCATTTTAAAGACCGGGAATCTTTCAAAACCCAAGCAGAATCAAGATAACCATCGGGTCCTACTCCAAAGTCTTCCTAGGAGGGATTATCTCCTCACTGAATATGCTACTGGACATAAACAGTAAACCTACAGAAAGGTAATTTAAAATCAAGGACTAAATAAAATTCAAATTTAAGTACATACACCATCCATATTTCTCATTTGTTTTTTAGTCCATTTCCCATTCTTCTCTTGGGGTATATCATTTTAATGCTGACTAATGATACCTATTCTCAAAAGTAGTTAACAGTAAAACACGAACTATACTGTTTTAAGTCTGACATGCAGGTCATCTTGAGTTTTTTAAGCATTCAACTCTGTCTTTTCCTACTTTCTGCCTTCAACTGTCATGCTCAAAGGTCTTTTTTAAGAACTACCAGCTTGGCTAGTTGAAGTTACTGAAAACTTAACTCTCATATTTGATCATTACCTAGTATCTGTTTGATCAGCCTTTCTTAGATTTTATTTGAATTGTGTTTTCAATAAATACATATGGACCAACCTGGGAACTCAGGAACAAAGCTGACAAGTAATTAAAAGTTCAACTTATCAGAAGTTACTATTATTGCACATAGGAAAGACCAATTAAAATAGCATTTTATTCTGTAGTGTGCATGTAACTCTACCTTAGCCTGATCAAGTTTAATAAATCAATCATCAAATTGTTTCCAACCAAATTTTAAATCCTCCTCGAAAATCTTCTTAATCTTTTTAAAGATTTTATTTACTTGAGAGAGAGCACGAGAGAGAGAGAGAGAGAGAGAGAGAGAGAGAGTGAGCATGCGCGAGCAGGGGGAGGGGCAGGAGCAGCAGATCCCCTGCTGAAGGGCTTGATCCCAGGACCCTGGGGGATCACGACCTGAGCAGAAGGCAGAGGCCCAACAGACTGAGCCACTCAGGCACCCCTTCTTGATCTCTTTTAGAAGAATCTTACTTTATCAGTAAGGACTAAAGAACCATGAGCCAAAATCCTTTATGGGGGGGGAAAAAAATCAAGTGACAACTTAAACAATGAATGTAGCTGGAACCATTCAGATGCTTTCTACCCAACCACTTAGGATATACTATTCAATAAAAAAAAGTACCAGCAGACTTATTATCACAGGTTCACTAATCTTCTTCAGAAAAAAGATGTATCTAGTCAAATGCATTTGGGAAATGCTGCATATTCTTTTGAAAATTTGCAGTACACTGCATTTTAAAGGCTCTTAATCCCAAAAATATTCTTTAATTCAGCTATTTTAATTCAAAGTGACAACCACAGACCATTTACCCTTTAATTGTATTAATTTCACAGGATAACTGTAGTAATTAATTTTCATAAACTACTCCCCATACAACTGTCAAGCTTCTAAAAGCATACTTACTCTTCGTCATCATCGTCATCATCGTCATCTTCATCATCATCTTCATCAGCAGCAAGTTTTACTTTTTTCTTAAAAAAAAAAAAAAAATATATATATATATATATAAATATACACACCCATATAATCATGATAATTGCTGACCTTAATCACAAAAGTAAAGGCCAGAATACGATATCCACAGTAATTTCACCTACCTGTGGAACCTTGCTACCACTTCCAGGGGCAGAACGCTTTCCAGATATACTAAGGAGTTTCACGTCCTCTTCCTCTTCATCTTCTGACTCTGCATCTTCCTCCACAGCTAAAATAAAATTTATTAGCCGCTATTAAAACTCAACCAACAAGCAAGAACTCAGAAAAAAGGGGCATTAACATACAGTAATGAGCATTTAAAAACAAAGACTCTACTAGAAAAACAGCAAATTGGGAACAGAAATTTTTTACAAAGTACTTTTCAGGGCTAATATTCTACTAGGTCTTAAATGCAAAAAAAAAACTTTTCCAATTATTTCCATTTGAACAATTACAAAGAACTAAGCATACTTTTCAAATAGGGAACAAAACAACTGCATTTGAGAATAGATAACATAATACATAACAACATACCTACTAAGTGCTGTCCACTAATATGCACAGGCCCTGAACCACATTTCAACCGTAAGACCACAGGTGGTGTTATTTCAAAGCCCCCAAGAGAAACCTAAAAAGGAGAAACTTCTGAGGTTAAAGGTTCGGTATAAAAACCTGTTCACAACAGACTTAGAAAAATGTTTGTGTTAATAGGCATTACAGGCAAACTCATAAGCCAAATGAACAAACCAGTGAACCTGTTTTTCCACTTCTGACAAACAAGTAGCAAACCACTATGTCCAAGAGTGATCATTCAACACCACAGTGACAGAAGACGCAGCTACTGCTACTAGAAGAACCAAAGGAAATTCCTCCTTCTAAGTCCTTGGTGTAGCCTAAATGACATCTACTTTAATCCAATACAATTAGACCTTGACATAGAACCCAAAGTTTAAGTGCCCTTACCGTTGGCTGTACAGACATTTTCAAAGTTGCCAGTGTGACTTTAATTGGACTGCCTTCATAATTCATTGCCTCTGCTTCAACAATGTGCAATTCATCCTTTGCACCAGCTCCTAAACTGACCTGTGAACAAAAATAGTATTTCAGCTTAAGTTTCTATTTTACAATCCCAGTATTTGTCTTCAAAGAAAAAAAAAAGCCATTATAAACCTATTATTACCACTGATAGAAAACTAATTTGTGCATTTTCTTCAAGTTTTATGTCACCTTGCCAATCAATTTCTCATACTTGACGCATTTGAACAAATGCGTAGAAATATATTTGATGGCATAGTTGTAGGTATCAACTACCCATAGTATGGATCACTTAACATTTACTGGCCACCTACCACAAGTTAGGCAATAAGGCTACAGGCCTTACTGGGGAGTACAAAAAAGATTCATCGCTGCCCTAAAGGGTTTTATACTGCAGCTAAAGAAGCAAAGTACATAAATATGGAATGATGAACAGTAGTGTGACTGAACTTCACATGATTACCAAACGAGAGGTAAAGATGCCAAGTTTTATACCACAGGTACATTATCACGTATATACAATACTCAGTTATGAGATATTATGAAAGTGTTAAGTTGCACAAAAAGGAATAAGCGGATATCAAGAAAAGTAGTGTAGTCTGGAAAATTGAAGTACCGTTCTTAAAGATAACTGGTGCTCATTTTCATCATTATCCACCTTAAAGTGATAATCCTTGTCAGCCTTTAGTTCACAACCTGTAATGAAGGAAAAAACAAAAACAAAAAATAACACTGAAAACTTAAAGGAAGACAACCAAAAAGGTAACAGTTGTTTTGTGAACAATTTTCTACTGTTCTAGATACCAGAAAGCAAGGCAGAAGTAGCTATTCCTGGATTTCTTAAACACAAAGGTCTGTAAACATCAAATAACTTCCACACACAGCTTTATAAATTCCACTTTCCCACTATACTATTTCATTTTCAACTACACTAATTACCGTTTTTAGGTAGAAACAGGCTCAAAGGGCTAGTAAATCTGGAACAGAAACCAGTATCTGAAACTAAGTCTAATGTACAGTATTGATAGAATCCTACTGTTTAAAAAGATGAATTACCTACCTAAGCACCCAAGAGAAGTGGCAAATTTAGAAATGAGAACGGTTACACGAACACCTACATGAACAGTTTATATTTCCAAGAGAAAAACCACAAATGTAAAAAGACCAAAACTTGCTACAGGGGTCAGTATCCCATCTTTGAAATTAACAGAAATAATGTACATTAAATTATCCTCAGAAATTATATTTAAGAATAGATATATCCTAGGAATATTTCCAATAGAAAAGATTAACACAAAAATACGGTATAAACTGATCAGAAACCTGGCTATTCAAAATGGTTAGGAATTAAAACCTAGCATATAGTGCAAGTTATCTACTCCCATTCCATCAAAAGGCAAGTTGTTTGAAGTACCATCAGAATAATTTTAATTAAATGATTCCATTTAATTGCCATCTAACAGTGAGGGGTACAAAGATGCCTAAATGTTATCTCAGTTAACAAATATCAGCATGATACATAAAGAAACAAATGTGGGGCAGGATTTGCACTTAACTTCAAAGCCTGGCAAAGATAGGGCTTACAGTTAATTTCATTAAGACTGAAAATGAAAACTAAAGCTGGCCTCTTTCTACTATGGTACTGCGTTCTGGAGAGGGGAGGGAAGATTCCAAAACAGTACCCGTTGTTACTGACCCAAACTGAACCCTACATACATTTCCCATCTTTTCAAAAAAGCTGTTTGCTCAACGCGGCACAGCCTCCCCACCATAAATACATAAAGCACCAGCTCTAGAGGCAAGGGTCTTGGTTTAGATCCATCTAGTCTCTACTTCCCTACAAGTACCACCTTCGTTAAGTCACTTCAGTTCTGAGCATCAGTATCGTCATCTGCAAAGTGGGCTAATTCAATCTCCCAATGTGAGATTAAAAAAAAAAGGGCTCCATAAATGAGAACTGCCATCATAGATATTAAGCACTGAACAAAGACTTCCAGAATCTTGGCTCTACTAGCCACCTCCCCCAACATTTCCCGCCCAAGAGCTTCAGTTAAGCCCCAGGATGCCAGGGTCCGGGGTGACAAGACACCAAGTAGACCCGGATGTAGTGCCCACACCCCCTCCTTCCCCCAACCACGTGGCAACCACGTGCTCCCAGCGGTTGCGGCCTCCTCACGCCCGGCCGCGCCTCCCCTCCCCCCGCAACCGGCCGAGGCACCGGGGCTGAATTTCGGCCCTAGGGCTCCGCACTCTTGAAGCCTGAGGACAATACCAGGCTCTAAATAGCCTTTTCCCCCAGAAAGTAAGACCATGCCTCACACCACGGACTCCCACAACCTCCAGCACCAAGCCTGGGCCCAGCATCAAAGACACCAGCCAGGAAATCACAAGCCTACGAAATCACACAGCCCGAGAGAAAATCATGCCCGTGGCTCTACCGCGTGCCCCCCAGGCAAAGCCGAACCCTCAGCCTGTTGGTTCTAGGGCCTGGTTACCTCAGGCCCTGGGCCTCGGATCGCTCCGGCCCCAGGCTTCAGGCCGCCCCTCCTTCCACCGCTTCGAGCTCCAGCTCTCCTCTCCTCACCTCCTATCCTATCTCTTAGGCTGCAAGGCCTGGGCACCTCACTTCCCTCCCTCAGACCTCTAGGCTGCCTAGCTTTCCCTACCAGCCCAGGCCTCAGGAAGATTCCCGCCCCACCCCCCCACCCCGCCAAAGCCACCAGGCCCTGTTCGGCCTCGCCCCAACCCCCCAGCACTTACCGAAAAGATAGTTCTGGGGCCTCAGGGGGCTCATGTCCATGTCCATCGAATCTTCCATGGGGTGGTGGCACGCACTTAGGTGGAAGAGAAGGCGGACGGAGATAAACGACTACTGTTCCACACAACAGCCGCGCAGGACGGAATCACACCAGGGAAAGGACGCGGGCTCCCTGCGTACATATATAGCATCGTGAAGATCTCGCGAGAGCTTCCTAAGTCCCGTCTCCGCGCGCGTGCTCGGGAGCCCCCCTCCCCGCACGGTCGCCCTCCCGCGCAAGCGCTCTTCAACCCCACTCCTTTCTACCTCGCCCCCCACCTCCTCCAGGTACTTCGCGGGCTCCCACCGAGCACGCGCACTCGTACCCCGGCCCCACCCCTCCGCCGCCTCCGTCTGTGCGCACGCGTGCTTTTCCCTGGAGCGCGCGCTACCCCCCTCCAACCCTTCCACGTCCTCTCCGGCTCTGGCGGGCGGACTCCGCGCCAGGATTCTGCGCTGCCCACCCTGCAAAATGGCGACGGCAACCCTTAGCTGTACTAGGTATGGAGGGCGAGCCGGTTGTAAGTGAGCCAGAGAGCAGCTCAGTTCACCTTTCTCCATCACTTCGTGCCTCTCAGGCCTCCAGACAAGCATAACCGCCTAGGGATTCTGACTTACCTGAAGGCTTGGGCTCAAGAGTTCATTGTTTCCCCAAAGTTAAAGCTTCAGGTGCCAGAAACAGTGGATTACTGATTATTCTTTGTTGGGGAGAAAAGATGTAGCTACTGTCCGGACTTACTCAACTGCTTTTATAGCTCTTTCTTTTCTGAGGAAACATCTCTGAAGTTGAAATCCCTCATCTTTATGTCATTTAGGGGCCTAAAGGGGGCTGAGTGAACCTCTTCCATATGAGCAGGGCAAGAACCAAGCCTGGTTGATTTTTCCAGACACAAGATTTTAAAAGGGCTGCATACCCACAATATGTCCCTATGTAAGATCCTGTGAGGCAGATGTGACTATACCCACTCTGGGGACAAGGAAACGGGCCAAGTGCCCAAATGGATGAAGTGGTAAGACAGGATGCTCTAGCTCAAAGTCCAATGCTAACATTCCCTTTAAAAGAGTTTGGAGGGATAGGTGTGGGTCCAGCCTCTGAGGCAGTGCAGTTCTTAATCTTTAATACTGCTAAGACTGTTCTGACCTGTGAAGAAAACATATGACTTATAAGAAATGCAGAGACCTCAATTAGACTCTTTGGGAGTGAGTCTGGAAATTATTCTAAAAAAGCTACATCTTGGGGCGCCTGGGTGGCTCAGTTGTTTAAGTGACTTCCTTCGGCTCAAGTCATGATCCCAGTGTCCCAGGAGCTCGGCGTCGGGCTCTCTGCTCCTCGGGGAGCCTGCTTCTCCCTCTGCCTCTGCCTGGCACTCCCCCTGCCTGTGCTCTCTCTCTGTCAAATAAATAAAATAAAATAAAATAAAATAAAGCTACATCTTGACAGAGGCTTTCCCACCCCTGGAGCCTCTGGGCACTGGTGCCTTTTTAAGGATTCCCCTAAGTTATCTTGTTTACATCAACAGATTAAATAATTTAAGAAATAGTGGAAGGAATAAAAATAGTGAGAGCGGTGCCCCACCTTCTCTCCAAATACAATCTAGTTGGGAAGATAAACTATAATACAGGTGAATCAACTATTAATTAACAGAATCATAATTCTAAATCTGGAGAAATCAGTGAAACTAATATGTGAAAGGGAACAAGCTGTTCCCCACCCCCAACTGAAGAAGAGTCTTCACCAGTCTGGTTCTTGGATCTTTTGAGATGCAGAGTATGGCCAATCGCTAGAGAAAATCCTGAGGCTTAGAAGGATATATATGTAAAGAGCTGAGAAAGGCCGAGAAAGGGAGGGAGGACTACGCAGAGGATTTGAGATTATTTAAAAATAAAATCTTAAAAAAAAAAAAGATTTGGGCATGAGAAAGAATGAGAAAGTCTCATGAGGAGCTATAGGAGAGTGGAGGACCAGAGGTTAGTATTCTTTGAGCCCATGCTAGTATGAGTTGGAACTACTTTGTACTTTCTTTCTGGATTCTGGGCCATGATTATTCAAATGCAGCTCTGCACAGAGCCTGAGCCATGTAGGAACCATATCTCATATAAACAAATACATTTGTTTTTAAAATATTTTAAGCACCTAGTCTAGATATTATCTCAAGGAATCAAGCAGTTAAAAAAAAAACTACTTATCGCACTTTTTCAGATTTACAAATGTAACGATTGCTCACTTCTTAAAATAAATTAAAATTATTTAGGCCTATACAGAGTGGAAAAGTAAAAGTGCCTCTCTTTCCATATTCCCAAGGATTAGTCACCACTAATAGCTGTGTGTGATTTTTTTCCTTCCAGACTATCTATCTACCTATCTATACAGAGAGAGATGATATAGTTGGAGGGTCTTTTGTATGTTTTTTAATGTGGATGATTCATATATTGTTCAAGTGGCTTTGTTCAATTTGCTTGCTTTATTCAAGAATATATTTTGGTGGGGTGCCTGGGTGGCTCAGCCGGTTAAGCACCCCACTCTTGGATCTCAGCTCGGGTCTTAATCTCAGGGTTGTGAGTTCAAGCCTCACATTGGGCTCCATGCTGGGTATGGAACCTACTTTAAAAAAAAAAAAAATATATATATATATATATATATATATATATATATATATACACACACACACACATTTGGACATTTCCCTACACTAGTACATAATATGGGTATGTTATAATTTACCTGTCCATTTCTCATTGATGGACACTAAAATTATCTCCATAATTTTACTATAAGAAATGATGCTTTAGTAAATATTATGGATTGAATGTCTATGTACCCCCCCCCAAATTCATTTGTTGAAGCCCTAACCCTCGATGTGACTGTATTTGGAGACAGAGCCTATGAGGAAGTGATAAAGGTTAAATGAGGTCATAAAGATGAACCCTGATTCAATAGGGCTGGTACTCTTATAAGAAGAGGAAGAGACATCAGAGCTTGCTGTCTCTCTCAGCTATGTGAGTATGTAGGAGAAGGCACCCTAACCCAGCCTCAAAAACTAAGAAATAAATTTCTGTTGTTTAAGTCACCAGGCCCTGTGGAGCCACCCAGGCGTCCCAGGACTCCTTTAACAAGCACACGAATTCCATTCACGAGGGCTCCATTTTCCTGACCTAATCACCTCCCAAAGACCGCACCTACTAATACAATCACCAACGGGGGTTAGAAGTTCAACATAGGAATTTTGTGGGGACATAAGCATTCAACCCATAGCAATTATTCCTCAACTTCCCTTCTTGATTTCATGTAACTTAGCTGTCTTTCCATGATATAATATTTGAGGCCCACTGCTTTCTTTTTAGGAGTTGCATAATAGTCCATAGGATATAGCAGCAATGTCCACAATAGCCAAACTGTGGAAAGAGCCAAGATGTCCATCGACAGATGAATGGATAAAGAAGATGTGGTATATATATACAATGGAATATTATGCAGCCATCAAAAGGAATGAGATATTGCCATTTGCAACAACGTGGATGGAACTGGAGGGTATTATGTTGAGTGAAATAAGTCAAACAGAGAAAGACATGTATCATATGATCTCACTGATATGAGGAATTCTTAATCGCAGGAAACAAACTGAGTGTTGTTGGAGTGGGGGGTGGGGTGGGAGGGATGGGGTGACTGGGTGATAGACACTGGGGAGTGTATGTGCTCTGGTAAGCGCTGTGAATTGTGCAAGACTGTTGAATCTCAGATCTGTACCTCTGAAACAAATAATGCAATATATGTTAAGAAAAAAAAAAGAAGAAGAAGAAGAAGAAGGTAGCAGGAGGGGAAGAATGAAGCGGGGGAAATCGGAGGGGTAGACGAACCATGAGAGACGATGGACTCTGAAAAACAAACAGGGTTCTAGAGGGGAGGGGGGTGGGAGGATGGGTTAGCCTGGTGGTGGGTATTTAGGAGGGCACATTCTGCATGGAGCACTGGGTGTTGTGCACAAACAATGAATCATGGAACACTTCATCTAAAACTAATGTTGTAATGTAAGGGGATTAACATAAGAATAAAAAAATTAAAAAAAAAAAAATAATAGTCCATAGGATGGGGGTGCCTGGTGGCTCAGTAGTTAAGCATCTGCCTTCAGCTCAGGTCATGATCCCAGGGTCCTGGGATCAAGCCCTGCATCGGGCTCCCTGCTCAGCAGGAAGCCTGCTTCTCCCTCTCCCGCTCCCCCTGCTTGGGTTCCCTCTCTCACTGTGTCTCTCTCTGTCAAATAAATAAATAAAAATCTTTAAAAAAAAAATAATACATAGGATGTACATATATGCTATTGTTTTAATTCCAGGTTTTATTTATTCCTTCATTTGTTAACGCATTTTGTGATGGAAAATTTCAAACATCACAGAAATTTAGAATATTCTGTTGAATACCCATATACGCATCACTCAGCTTCAAGAGTTATCAATATATAACTACTCTTATTTCATATATACCCTCCCACTATTAGTCTCTCCTCTGCTAGATTGTTTAAAGAAAATCCCAGACATGTATATTTTCATCTATAAATACTTAAGTATGTATCTTTAAGAGATAAGAACAATTCCTCAAACCTAAATGTAATACCATTATGATCGAAATCAAAATTTTACATAAGTACTAATATTATGAATTATCCAGTTCAGATTTCCCTGATTGTCTCACAGTTGGTTTGTTTGAATAAGGATGCAAACAAGGTTGACACGTTATGCAGGAAGACGTGTTGTCACTTAACGTGTCCCTTTATCCCCTGTAGTTTCTTTAAGTTAGCAGTCAGACCTATAGCTGCTCTGTCAAATGGTTAGTGGGTGCCACTAACTACATATGGCTAGTTAAATTTAAATTAGTTAAAATTAACTAAAATGTAAAAGTCAGTTCCTCAGTCTCACTGGCCAAGTGCTCAATAGCTATGTAAGGGATAGCACACAAAAACATTTCCATCACCGCAGAAGGTTCTGTGGGACAGCTGTGATATAGAGGCTTCACCAGATTCGTGTTCACCTTCCTGACAAGAACACTTCATAGGTGGTGGGAATACATCCTGTTGTGACAAGAGGCAGATACTGTCTGGTTGTCTCTCTTTTTATGGTCTTATGTTCAGCTATTGTCAGCCTAATTCTTCCTTTGTGAAGTTCTCCATTCACCTGAGTTTTGACTGATCACTGCCTCTATTCATTATTTCTAATTTTATCACT